TTTGTGACATGATGTACCATGTGTGTGTGAAGTTTGAACTTGATCAATCCAGACATGTCTCGGATACGGATCCAGAACTGAATTCTTTAAAACAAAATGGCCGCCAGTCGGCCATTTTGAACTTGATCCGTAAAAAAAATGACGTGCACCAAGGTCCTATTATGTTTAATGTATGTACCAAATTTGAACAAAATCCATCCATGCATAACTGAGATCCGGGTCCGGAATGGTGAAAATGTGCGATTTTGATGCATTTTCGAGCTTAAAATGGCCGCTATTCAGCTATCGTTAATCGGATCATGAAAAAAGTGCATGTGCATATGTCCCATATAATGTGTGATGTATGAGTGAAGTTTGAACTTAATAGGTCCATGCATGTTCGAGATACAGGTGATCACGGACGCACGGACGCACACAGGGCAAAACATAAGTCCAATGGGGACTAATAAGGGCTAACAATCCCATTGAGCTCATGCCACGCATGCTTGCATGGAATTTATAATTCTACATGAGATCTCATACCCATGTCAATCAAACCTGTTCTCATCATTAATTTTATTTAATGTGTCAAATACAAACAATATTAAATACATTAGCCACATATCTAGATTATGTTCCATGGGTTAGGCTGGACCAACAAGTCTGAACTTTTCTGTTAAGTTTTCATCTCCAGGGTCAGTGGGCGACTGTGATTGGCTAATCTGAATATGCTAATTTTGGATGGATGACTATTGTTTTTCTCACACTCTATATTTGCCAGAGTTACAAATTATTCATGATGTTGCAAATACATTTACTGGTACATAGTTGCAAATACATTTACTGGTACATAGTTGACATAAGACAAATTTACAGCAAGTTCATAAACTGTGGAGTGGAAGCCCAAGCCCACAAAACATAATCTGGCTAGCAGTATTTAATCTTGAGTTGGCATGGATACTAGAAATACCAAGATAAATCTTCCTGCAGACTCCTTAATATTTCTAAAAACTCTCACATGATTGTTTTATGGTATCTTTAGTACGTGTCACCTTCATCTCTCTACTCAACATGTCATTAATTATAAACAATTGTAATTTCTTTTTACTTGTACATACTGATATGATACAGATGAAGGTATAAAAACATTTTAATGTAAATGAACATGTTATAATTAAAGATGAAATTGAATTACAATTTTCATGTTGTGATCGAATATTATTAATCCAAACATTCAATGAGCCACGATGCCATCAGTAATTCACCAATAATCAATAACATTTACTCAATCAATAGCAATGATCTTCTAAACATTGTGCTATAATTGCAAGCTTAGCTTACAGCCTCCATACTGCTACATGTAGGTCTTTCCATGGTTTGGAAGAGATCACATATTTGTCCAGATGTTATGTTGCCTGCATCTATTTCAACATTCAAACACAAGGGCTCTAAACTGTCACACAAACTTACAGGATCCCCCTAAAAATACTGTACAAAGGACCTCAGATTCAACACACATATACCATATTTGCTCTGTAATAAGCACTCCCATAGAATCACATGTATGGACTAAATGTTTTTTTTTTTTAGTGTTTAAAGTACATCAAGCTGAAACAAACCTTTTTAATATGTCCTTTACATAAGCATGTCCTTTACATAAGCATGTCCTTTACATAAGCATGTCCTTTACATAAGCATGTCCTTTACATAAGCATGTCCTTTACATAAGCATGTCCTTCTAATAGAGCAAATACAGAACTAAGACTCAAACCAGGATTTTATCGGATTGACTTAGTTCCTGCATTTTCTTTGATATTTGAGTCAAAATTAAAGTCTTTTCCTCGACCAAAGCGGATCTTATTCAACAGAGCGTAAGATGGTGACATCATTTCTACAAGACAATCACCCAATCTTATTCACAGTACATACAGTACATCATCTTGCTCTATCTTTATAAATATATTTATATTGTAATAAAGATAATAACAAACATCAATAATTCAACTCCTTATAAGTTACTTTAATTATTGTAATAAAAACTACTGAAGAAGACATGAGTTATTGTCTCGTAACCTAGGTAACATTATAAATAAGTCAATGTGTCATCTGTACTGGGGCATGAAGTGTAAACATATAAAACGCTGCTATCTATCTATCCAGACTATTAAAAGTTTCATCCAATAGCTTCCTGATCTCGTCACCACGGGAGAACGATCTCTTTACACATTCTTGTATTTGACTTTCAGATAAAGAGCTCCCACCTGATATGAAAACAAAATATGAGGATTAGTCATGCTTCGAATATAGATGTAACACTAGAATGCATTTGTGAGCAAATCTCAACAAATACGCCTCAGGAAAACAGTTATTACTGTATAAAAGCTATTGAAGTAGGATTTGTTTGTCCTTCTAGTTGTGCCTATATGTGAAAGACATTACAGGTATGCTACACTAGAGATTTAAAACAATTGCTAGGTTACATGTATGAAGGTGATTGCCACCTTTCCAGAATAGAATTGAATTAAATATTTAACACTGGCCCGACTATAGCTGGGGTGCCACCCTATTATTGGAAACGTTGTCAATATATTCTACACAATGCCTGAGCTGACAGATAAAACAACAACAGCTCAGCTGACAGATATAACGACAACCGCTCAGCTGACAGATATAACGACAACCGCTCAGCTGACAGATATAACGACAACCGCTCAGCTGACAGATATAACGACAACCGCTCAGCTGACAGATATAACGACAACTGCTCAGCTGACAGATATAACGACAACAGCTCAGCTGACAGATATAACGACAACCGCTCAGCTGACAGATATAACGACAACTGCTCAGCTGACAGATATAACGACAACAGCTCAGCTGACAGATATAACGACAACAGCTCAGCTGACAGATATAACGACAACGCTCAGCTGACAGATATAACGACAACCGCTCAGCTGACAGATATAACAACCGCTCAGCTGATAGATATAACAACAACCGCTCAGCTGATAGATATAACAACAACCGCTCAGCTGACATATATAACGACAACTGCTCAGCTGACAGATGAAACGACAACAGCTCAGCTGACAGATAAAACGACAACCACTCAGCTGATAGATAAAACGACAACCGCTCAGCTGAAAGATATAACAACCGCTCAGCTGAAAGATATAACAATCGCTCAGCTTACAGATACGACAACCGCTCAGCTGACATATATAACGACAACTGCTTAGCTGACAGATATAACAACCGCTCAGCTGAAAGATATAACAACAACCGCTCAGCTAGATATAACGACAACCGCTCAGCTACAGATATAACAACAACTGCTTAGCTGACAGATATAACAACAACCGCTCAGCTGACAGATAACAACCGCTCAGCTGACAGATATAACGACAACTGCTCAGCTGATAGATATAACGACAACTGCTCAGCTGACAGATATAACGACAACTGCTCAGCTGACAGATATAACGACGATCTCTCAGCTGACAGATGTACACGTTGGTGAGTGGTTGTTAACAGTCACAGGACTGCCATAAAATTGTTGACACAACTCATTTCGCAATTTTAAGAGACATAATATTCCCTCTAATCTGGTACATGGTGCACGAAGGTTGTTTACCCTGAATACCCTGAGTGCTGATCGTTTATACGTAGGATATCATGAACACTCAAATGTACTCAAGATGAAATGGTACAACATCTATTTGTATTATTAATATTTAATTTCAATATTTTTGAAAGTGAAATTTGCAAAATTAATGTAAACTTACAATAGTACTCATTGGTTCACTGGTAAATCCATGTATGGTCAAAAGAGTGAAATTATTATATATTTAAATTATATGTATTTGTGAAAATAAATGACTTTACTGTAGTAGTAACATGTTATATTGTTTGTATGAATCTGATATCCGTCTACGGTAGTAAGCTACATACCTGGTTTGTGCAGAGCACAGAGTTCACCACACTCATTTGTCACCACGGTAACAACACCCGTTGCTAGGTTCTCTTCTTCATTTGTTGGATCAGCTATGAGAATGGAACTAAAAAAATAGACTTTGTTACTTTGTACTAAAAATCAAAAACAACTGTTAGCAGGTAACCATGACAGCCAATATTGCATTTACCATTCCATACCACACATATAACTTATTTTTTATAACATATTGGGTAAATTTGAATGTGATCAGTGGCCATGTACAAAATATGAATGTTCATGAGAAAGCAAACATAGCATTTTAAAGCGGTTCAAAGATTAGCGTTAAAATATTGTTTTGTCGGCATGATGAGTGATTGATAGGCGGTAGTTACATCTTGCCAACATGCAAGTGCTTGATTTATGGATACAATGTTGCAGAGGCAAGTGTCTGTTCCTGATTGGGCGGAAGTTGATATGGTTCACTGATTGTTCCACCTGTTATTTAGTGTGCGTTCCTGAAGGAAGGGAACGGATCCATACTTAGCCTTTAGCGGGTTTTTCCAGTGAGCACAATCGCATAGCAGGTGATTTAATTAGGGTTTTTACACCGTATTATGTTCTTCCTTTTTTTGATAACATGTACTGACTACATGTTTCTATTATTACATTCACCTGATATGTACTTATAATTTGTACAATAATCTCCACAATAAAGTAGTGAGCTAACATTCTGTTTTTAGTTTTGTGTGCTTTATTGTACTGTAAAATACTTTTTTTTCCTGAAAAGAGATTTTAGCTGTCTTTGTTGAATTTTTTTTCAAAATCAAATGTAACATATAATATAAAAATAAAGTCCATATGGAAATAAAGTACAGAAAAAGAAAGTGTACAGCTAGCTCTTTAGACATTCTGAAATCATGTTGGGAACTATCAGACTGATCTCAGAGAACGAGACCCTCTGGGGTCGAAAAAATCGAATGCACAGAATTATAAATGAACCAACTTAAGGATTTAAAACCTTCGGCAAAATAAATAATAGCTACAATATTTTGTAATAAATACTAAGCTACATGTACATAAGTAGCATGTCTTATTGTTTGAATCTAGAACAGAGAAACCAGATAAGATAGTTTTACTCTATTCAATCTAATAAATAAAAGCAACAAAATCATCTCGTTTTTTTTTTTTTTTTTTTTTTTTTTAAAGTAATACAAAATTATTGATTTAAACACAAGTTACCTTTTTGTTACCCAATTTAATATTTTCGAGAAAAAAAAATGTCTGAATTTATGTTGAAACATTATTTTGTAATAAATTAACTATGCCCGGCACAGTCCTTGTGGCTAACATTACCATCAATGAGTTTGATAATGAGATTACACATGTGCAAGGTTGGTTCCAGACATTTTAAAAACCATAATAATGCCAGTGGCGATCATTGATTGGATAACAAACTGACTGCATGTGCATAATTATACCAAAGTACAAATGTTGAAGTGTTGCTCTAAGCATGTATGAAATATTACGTACGAAAGTGCATTCTTCAAGAACGCAAGAAAGAAAATGTGTAAATCTAAATCTGTAGAAAATTGGTCAATGCGTTTTCAAACAAGTGACTGTAGACCACAATCTTTGTTAGACCGGGGAGTGAGAGCATCAAAATTTAAATAAACAGAATCATTTCAGGGAAAATCATTATGCAGTGCACAATAGAAAAATAATTCTCATTTCAATATTATATAATAAGTTTTAAATTCAAATGTTTGAAGAACATATAATATCAGTTAATTCACAAACACTTACAAGGTTATCTCTCATTGGTTAAAACAACGACCTATTCTGGATACAAGAAACATGTTTCAAACTTGTTATGAAGCCTGTACACATATGCTGTCAGATGTACGTCCAGTTTTTGTATATACCGGTATTGATTCAAAATGGCCCACTGGTGGTCTTTTTTTTTTCAAACAATGCACCCGAATGTACCTTTTTTCATGAATTGTTTAGGCTAATTTGTTTCAAACATGATATGATGGTTTTATATGTTGAGTGCTTCATGGATGTCCTGTTTTATTTTGCATTTTAATTCAAAATGGCTGACTGTTGGCCATTTTTGTTTCATGGTTTTGCATAGTGATTTCTCAGAAATGCTTTGATCAATTTGGTTTAAAATTGATACAATAACAGATCATAATAGTTGACTTATGATTTTTTTAATCGGTTAATATTTTATCGAATTGCAGTCATTTAAGTCATTAAAAATGTTAAAAAATCATAATTTCATTGCTTCAAAATTTTTTTCTGAAATGAAAACATGTTTTCAAATTTGGTATGCTGTTTGAACATATACTGAGTTATTGACAAGCTGATTTAAAAAAAATTTTTTTATATATTTCAGTTCAATATGGCTGACGGGTGGCCATACTTGGCTTGTTAATCTGGATTCTGTGAGTAAAAGCATGAAATGAAGCCACATGGTAAAAGTTTAGGAAATCTGGCAATATGCTTTTAATGGTAACTACCTTAAAGAAATGTATAATCCTCAGAAGTGTTTGGTTTATTTTAGATTTAGATAAGTTTTTTGGTTCAGACCAGCTTGATGTAGTTTACGGTCGCCAAACATAATACAGTATTAGATGTACACATGTGAGTTATATTCTAATACCGTCTTATTTTATGCCTGTAAGCCATGACTATACAGTAAACACCAGAGACATTATTATAAGGATAATATTGCTTACAAGTGTAAACGAAATACAAAGTGACGAGTGAAGATTCTCATTCCTGTGAATTACACCTAGTATTAATCACAGCGGTTTAGATTAAGTCTAAGCAGGAAACGATTACACCATGCATAACCTTCACGCTGTGAACCTGTCTCATCTACACAATTAGTTATTCACTAAGTGCAGTCTCAGCAATGAATCTGAACTTGTAATTAACAAAAGGGATATTTTATTGATCATAAAGTTAATACAAAGGGGTCAAGTGGCATGGAACTGTAGCGTTGAAGTCAGAAAACGATAATTCTCCCTAATTTAATGAACTAAGAAGCAGTAATTGGATTGATTTTCATATGTACTGTCAATTTCACACACTCAAGTATTGTATAATAATGAGACACATACTTATCAAAGATAGCAAATGATGTTGACACTGGCAGTGATTGAACCGTCATTGTAGATGAAGTTGAGGATGTTAATTTCGGCTTAGCGGTCTCTTCATCTACCTCTATAGAGGGCAGTGCAACTACAAAAATAACATAAGAAATAATATGACTTTCGTTGCGTATTGGAAGTTATTTTCACGAGAGATGCGATGTATCCTGCATCCATAAAGTACAGCAGAATACACCGCATCTCGAGTTGCAAATTGGAAAAGCAAATTTAAAAACCAAGAAAGTTTGTGGAAAATTGGTTTTCCTATCAGCATGATTTAATTTCATTTTCGTTTTAAAATTGTCATTAAAATTTGTCTTTTTGATTGACTAATTACTTTGCAATTATTTCATTTGTGACTTATTAATTCGTTACCAAATGATATTTTGTGATCAAATAATTAATTACTGTATGATATTTTGTGATCCAATTATTAATACTTGTATGTATTTTACATAATGATAATTATTGATTGAATAAAACATACTGATATTTTGCATGTCAAATTAAAAATTCATACAGGTTTTGAGGGTTAAAACTATTTAATATTTATTACAGTCAAACCTATGTTTAGTGACAACCTGCTCATAATGATCATCTTAGGGAGTCTTAATGCAATGTACAAACTGGTTATGACCTGTTCACCTGGAAGTTATCGGGTTGCTCTTTGCTCTGAATTACAGCCAGACGTGATGATTAGATAATTTGCATGTTCGTTATTCTTGCTTCAATAGGCAGAATAGTGTGCACATTTTCAGAGGTTGGTATGAGTTAGTTGAAAGATGATAGCAGTTTTATTTCAGGGGAATTTTGATGTTGTTCGTTGGACACATTGATATTTGGTGTACTGCCACTCTGTGTGTTTGGAACGTACGAAATCTGTCCTAACTTCTGGTTTGCTGACCTCAAGTCACACAATATACACAAGCACACAAACGATGAATGAGCAACCGCTATCAATTCGGGAATCGATAACAGTCTTTTTTGACAACAGTTGATTTCCTTATAACCTTATAAGTCCAATACACCACAATTTAGCCGTGAAAAGCATTATTTCAAATATATGCATGCATATTTAAAGATGCAATATGGACAAAAACATATATTTTTCAATATCATTATTCAATAAACTATACTATGATTAATCATGAAATAAAAATGTTGCATTTGCAGGATGCATAGAAGCATTCATTAGCTAAAAAATCAAAACTACAAATACACATGTGAAATAATTATTATTGTACATACCAAAACACCTGGTGCACATGCTTAGTACAATTTGTCCTTGTTTCATTGAACAAAAACTAAGATGCATGCTTTACGAACAGCGTTTTCAGTTTTTTGATAATTTGTAGTCCAATGTATTGTTCAACATACAATATCAAACAATATTACTAAATTAAAATTACATGTTCTTGTTCATATTAAATTAGTAAACAATTGCCACAGAATTCCTGAGATTAATAAATGACTACTTTCTGTGTTTCACCACAATGCTGGATACCTGGTACTACATGTATTTATCAGCAGGGTAAACCACACCTGTCTCACAATGCTGGATACCTGGTACTACATGTATTTATCAGCAGGGTAAACCACACCTGTCTCACAATGCTGGATACCTGGTACTACATGTATTTATCAGCAGGGTAAACCACACCTGTCTCACAATGCTGGATACCTGGTACTACATGTATTTATCAGCAGGGTAAACCACACCTGTCTCACAATGCTGGATACCTGGTACTACATGTATTTATCAGCAGGGTAAACCACACCTGTCTCACAATGCTGGATACCTGGTACTACATGTATTTATCAGCAAGGTAAACCACACCTGTCTCACAATGCTGGATACCTGGTACTACATGTATTTATCAGCAGGGTAAACCACACCTGTCTCACAATGCTGGATACCTGGTACTACATGTATTTATCAGCAGGGTAAACCACACCTGTCTCACAATGCTGGATACCTGGTACTACATGTATTTATCAGCAGGGTAAACCACACCTGTCTCACAATGCTGGATACCTGGTACTACATGTATTTATCAGCAGGGTAAACCACACCTGTCTCACAATGCTGGATACCTGGTACTACATGTATTTATCAGCAGGGTAAACCACACCTGTCTCACAATGCTGTATACCTGGTACTACATGTATTTATCAGCAGGGTAAACCACACCTGTCTCACAATGGTCTAAACCCATTAATAACTGTTGTGAGGTTTCTCAAGAGGATAATGTACTGGCAATGAACTCACCAAAAATCGTGAGAAGGTGAAACCACATTTGGCGTTGCCCCAATTTGATCTTTTCTACCTGTCTGTACTGCACTGTGATTACACAAGTTTTATTTTAAGTAATATTTTGCAATCAAATGCTATATATAGAAGATGGATATTGATACTCACCATTGCGTAGTGCCGCTAATAGTGAAATGATACAGGCATCAATGACGTTACCATCATAGTCTAAGCACATCATATCACAATATAGAACCCATACAATCTAAAAAATAAAAGAGTAATTATGAAACAATGCGTTCGGGTTATTACAATATAATGTTGCCATGACAACCACAATCATGGAACAACCCAAAATTATTTTTGGTATTTATTCCTATCCCAAATTATGTTTTATCATTTTCACCAACTGCCTGCATATATTCATCCTGTGGGTTTTTAGATTGCATGAACATTATTCAGCAGTGATTAAGAGTACTTACGAAATGTCATTTTCATTAGATACTGAATTTCCTTTTTTGTAGTACAGAATAATAAATGTAATTAAAAGTGACAGGGTCACAATATTTCCGAGATTACACTTTTGTTACATCATGGAGTTTTTTATGAAAAAATCCCTCTATTTTTTATTATCTCTTTGCTCAGTTAACAGCTGGACTGTTTAGATATTACAAAATTACTCAGAGACTATTCACCAATTGCTATGTTCACACGGCAGCATTCTATCGGAGCCGAACTACTGCTCCTCCCACGGATTAACAGGAGATTATCTCCAATGCATTCATACAGTCGGGGGTCGAACGAGAGCCAAGATCTGCCAGAGTTCGATCTCAGCCGAACTGAACAGGGCCCTCGAATAATTAGTGACTGAAAACGATTTTAGTGTCATGCTTGTGTTTTTTCTTTACATGGCATGATGCTGTTGAGCTAGGAGAAAAAAGAGTCTGAGCATGGAGGTATTATGATTTAGGTACTAGTATCTCGAATAAACAGGAAACACGGCAGCGAAAATGCGTTTAATACAGCCTATTCGCTCAAGTTATTGTCATGCAAAATTACCATTTTGTAACTATTCAACTGTAGTGATATCTAAACTACTAGGAAGAATCACAGATTCTCTCTATCTATCATAGAGGGACTATCAAAAATAACCAGGAACACGTCATCGTACCGCAATCGCTTCTACGATTTTTATCTTTAGTGTCCTTAAAAGGTTCCCGTTCAGTCGTGCAGTTTTTGTCACATAATTTCGTACGCCATTTTTTTGTTTCCCGTTGAGCTATCAATCTATCGCAATAATTTGTTACTATATATAAGGACGCGTACCTCTTCGTCAAGCCGGAAATTGTGTGGGCGTGATTTCGGCTCCGATAGTTGGGCCCCGATGCATTTACATGATCGGAGCCATGTCGAGACTCAACCCTATCAGAGTTCAACCCCAAGGGTTTAGTGGAGCCGAACTTGGCTCGAGTTGGCTCGAGTCGGCTCGAGCCGAACACGTTCACACGGCCATTTCTGCTGGCTCGAGCCGTTGGGCTCTGATAAAATGCTGTCATGTGAGCGTAGCAATTGTCTGTCGCAGAGTATATCTTTGTAATATATTATCCAATTCAGTCAATGTCTTGACCTTAAGGTAGTTCACTACCATTAAAAAAACATTTTCAAAAATCGTTGAAATCCAGCAGGAAAGGTTGGGTTACTGTAATGTTCAAAATTCAGAAATAAAAGTATACGCTCAACTAAGTTTCCCACATAACGACCTTGAAAATTGATTAAAAAATGCATGTTTTGAATAGTTTACAATTGTTTCCTATGGCAGAAACATTCCATCATGTCTCAACATTTTGTTCAGTGACGTATGCTATAAAAATGATATGTAGTGTTATGAGGGCTGCATATGGCTGTCACGAGAAATTGGAGAAATTAGTTTAAAGTGCCTGTGAAATGGCTGCTATTTTCACGCATAAAATTATTCATTGACACATAAATATTATTATTTTTTATGTTTCTAAGCATGAATTATTTTTTTATGTGAAAAAATGTGTTTTAAACTCAATCTACAGCAACTTTATTTTTGTGTATTTTAAAACGAGGCTCCTCATTAGCTTCTTATTTGCATACATAAATTCCCCTTGTGACGTCAGAAGGGGAAGTCGCATGGCAGCTTGCATTGCCGATATTTGTAAATAAGGCAAATTTCTTGTGCAGTTTTCTCGTCTTTGACTAAATTATCACTTATGTACTTGTTCGTCGAGAAGGAATGGACCATAATGAACACATAGAATCAATTTTTGTTGCATGGGGTTGAGTTAGATGCGAAATATGTCCGTTCTGGTGTAGTTGGTCACCGTGATCGTCACCGGCGCACGTTTGTACACTGTCGCTGGACAAAATAGGTTACTAGGCACGTCACTACACTGTTTTATTTCATCGATCGTCTGAGTAAAACTTTCAAAATTAAAATAAAAGAGAACATATTTTGACATTCTAAACATTAGACTATAGTGATCACTATAAAATAATTAAAAAAAATGACAAATCACAGTTACTAAATAAATGACAGCCGCGTGGAAATAAATTAAAATTTTGTTGAAATAGGTGAACGCGTCGGGTCACGACGAGGGCAAGTGCGTTAAAAGCGGCGTTTAATTGGATAACAAAAATAATCGAGATCGACACACATACAGATAAATTCAGAGTGGATTCGAGTTAGCGTGATCCATGGCGTAATTATCATAATTATAACATCATATTAAAACTTTATTTAGTGGAAACACATTGACCAAGCCCGGATTCTTATTTCATAAATTATTACGCAGATCAAGCTGCAAGCATGGAGGTAAAAAAAGAACAGAGGTGTGAATTCGACATTCAACACCAATCACCAATATGTTGCCTTGATTTAAAATGCTCATATGTATCCCTTAACCCGCCAAATAATTTTGGAACAATGGCTTTAACTGCGGACTGATATCTCACACAGTAATGTGAAGTGGTTGACTAGCCGAG